TATTGATTAGAATTCTTTTGCAATGTATTTAAGGCAAAAAAAACTGCCCCAAAAATTCGACGGAATCCGTAGCAACGACATTGCATGGCCGTTAGATCATAACATCAAAAGGCAACTTCTAATTTGAAATCGTGATATTGTATAAGTTTTTTCTCTAGTAGCATTACAGAGAATCAATTGCAATAAAAATGATTGCTCGATCCGCATAATGGCCGCAAAAAGTAGACCTCATGTCCAAATTGCTTTTGTCGCAATCTGAAAATTCCAAGAGCAAACATATAAGCAGGATGAGGAACTGCATATTGCAGCTCAACCCATAATGTGTCCCGTTTAGTTTTGCTGAAAAATAAGAAAATCAAATCTGTTTATATATTTCGGTAAAAATGGGGTCAGAAAACTTAGAAATCAAGAAATGCTCGCTGGAGCATTTCTTACTCGGACATTTGGAGTAGTATAAAGTTCGACGCTTCACGTAGACTTTTAGTTTCCCTCAGACTACTAGACTTTTCATTTTACATATACGTTCGACTTTCAGACTTTTGTTAGAGTTTTAGACTTTTCACTTTACATATGAGTTCAACTGTCTTAATATATCTCTTTGTTTTTCTCTTGTTTGCTAGACTTATCAGAATTCTGAGTGAATTTTTTTCTTGATTTCTAGATTTCTGCCCATTTTTGTTGAAATGTACAACGAGACTTGAATTTCACATTTTACTGCAAAAGTAAAGTGGGCATATTATGAAAGAGTAGGTTTCATTGTATGAGAAATGAATGTTTTCCAACAAACTTTCGAAAGAACACGTGATCTAACAGACTATAGTTATTATTGTTTGCTTACTTTTATAATCATTTACTCTTCCAAATGATTTAGCAATAGCTACGTGTTCTAAGATCAAAATAATCACAGTCGGCACAATGTACGGGGCTATTAGTGATAAAATAGCCGGTGTAGTAATGGGAGGATGCATTTGTCTGAATCCTGACGGAACTTTTTTTAATATACTGATCGGGCTTGTGGTCTTGTGTAAATTAATTAAATAGGCAATTAAAGTTCCAACAATGACCAAGATCGCATTTCGAGCAATTCCAAAAAAGAACAATAGTCGCTCACGCTTTGGATAACGTCGAGTCAAATACTGGACCGAATATTTGACGGTGTACAACCATACGAGACCAACAGCGCCAAAGGCCAGATCTAATTGAGTGTGTGGAAGTCCTTTAAGAGTATATCCTAATATTAAATACGCTGCTAAACTGGATTTGATACCAGTTATCCCGAATAGTTTTGGTAATTGACCGATGATGATTGTTATACATGAACCAGTCATAAAACCTGCAATAGCTGGATTGGGAATAAAATCCACTAACACACCAAGCCTTATTAGACCAATGACTAAAGTAACTAGGCCACTAAACAGTGTTAGACAAGAAGCAATTTGAGGAGCGGAATATTCAGCGGTACCAATTGATAATATAGCTTGACCGATCAAAAGTGACATTACTGCAGTGGGACCTAAGTAGAAATAACTCTGTAAATCTATTGGAACAATAAAAATTTTGATAATCATACTTACCAATAGAAATATCTTTTGACGTCGCAAAGAAACAGTAAATACACAGTCCGACAAACGATGAGTAGAGACCGTATTCTGGTGGTAATTGAGCCACCTTAGCATAGGCCATGCCTTGTGGGACTACAATCACACCCACAGTTATACCCGCTATAAGATCACCTGTGAGCCATGTTAAATTGTAACGAGGTAACCAGCCAACAATCGGAAAGAGGCCTTGCACATAGGATTTAGCATAACGTGGGAATCTTCTGGCTGTGTGGACTAACTGTTCTTTGTATGTTGGAGGCTCATGATTCACGTATATTGTAGACATTAATTAATCAATAACAAGTTTCAACGACAGTAAAATGTGAATTGCGTAGTTTTTCTTCAAAACTCCTAGATAAAAGAACCACATAGAACAGAGTATTTAAATAGTGAATATGTAAGAATTTATTTTTCGACAGTTTTTTCATGGCGTTGTCGTCTCATCAATATCCCATATTCTTAACTATTAGTGCAAATCGTTCAGTCATCGAGAAAATCTAGTAAATACCGCTTTGTGAATTTTCTTTCTGCGGTTTATTAGGTGCCACAGACGTAAATATCAGCTAGCATAACCATTGAATACTAACCCTCTTTTTATTAATTATATTCGATAATTATGTAAACTTTATGAAATTAGCTAACGTTGACGGTAACAATCACTAACATCTTTGCTAATAGACATTATGTTAAAAGCATGTTATCGATTTTATATTTTTGTCCAAACTACAGAGTGGGCTTTTGTTTTTCCGTAGGCGTATATAAAACTGGTTAAATATGATCACACACAAAGATAATGTCTTCCCCACAGGTGAGAAGGTAATAGAAATAAAAGACACCAGTATGAGAGTAGAACTATAAATTAAACCGGTTCGAAGGTTTTTTTCTATCCGTCATAAACTGGATTGCTGGTTAGCGTATGACACTAAGTAAGCGAAAGAACAAAAAGCATGTTTTTATTATTTTTTTCCTAATATTGTTTTTTTCGATCCTACGCCGATGGTTATTTTTAACAATGTTTAAGATGTCAATCCATTTACACCTTCATTTCTAAGATCGGACGCTTGTTCCCCTCAAATTTGTATTCTGTTGACCTTGTCAGAACATAATGACTCACTATCTATAACAGGGTATATATATATATATATATACCCAAAAGGTACTTAGTATGATATTTCAGACAAACTGCGATAAATACTAGCACTATAAGGTAGACTACCTGTATTACGATAAAAAAATTTAGGTGACAAGATTGCGTCTTTCATTTAATAATTATGTACATGTTTCTACTGTAGAAATCCGAATATGATGATATGACATGTTAAATATTCACAATAACTCGTAAAAAAAGCTTTATAAAAAAGAAAATATTAAGAAGAGCGAAAAATAAAACTGATAGCATAATTATTTTTGTATAATAGTGTTTTTTTTTTAAAAATTTTATTATTGAGATAATTAAACAGATAGCATGTTTTTTACTTTCTTTCTCAGCATCATACGCTGACCAGTAGTACAACTATATATTACCTAAGAGCATAAAATTTATGTGAATGTAGGCCCTCGTCATACGCTGATTATACGACAAGTCTTGAATAATAAGTCTGGATAATAATAATAATAATTGACTTATGGTTATCGTGATATCTCAATCTTATTTTTTTCATTTAAATGTAAATACCGCAGTTAAAGTCTTTACTGTTTAATATATTTTAGTTAATTTACGAGGAATAGTCATTTTTTGTTTTTCTCGAAAAAACGTAGTCATAACTCGCCCGTAAAACATACTTTTGACTTCATACTTTTGGAAAACAGCTACCTGAAGCATTTCGGATAGAGCAAGCTTGATGATTCAATACCCATCCTCTCCGCCATAACATGAACATTTCCACGGATATCACATCCATGCAAAAATATAATTATAGATCCTCGTGATTCTCGCAAATGTTGAAGACGATTTATGTTACGTAGTCCCTTTTTGATCACTTTCAAATACAACTTATACCAAATTCACATCAATAATAGTATGCAGGTTAGCTAATTATCACTGATTATTGAACCAAAAATTTTACACCAAAACTTAATTTGAAAGATTTATATTTTGTCGCCTATGATTTTACATCTTTTCATTCAACTATTTCATGAGATGATGAAACAATTGAAGTTTTCTCATGAGACATCTAATTATCATCAATCAGCATTGATTAAGTTATTAGATTGTCAGATCAACAAGCAAAAAAAAACTAATTTTTTATTCAAGCAAAAATAAAAATGCCGTTATGCATACTGCATGGGCACTAACAGAGACACCATTCATTATTCATACCAAATGAAAGAGAAAAAATCGAGTATTAAACAGCTCATTTTCCCAGGTTGATATACCGTATGTGCCACAAGAACATGTAGATAAAATTTAATATTTCAAATTGAATACAGTTGAAAAGTTATTTATTTTTATCAGTGAACTCTTTCTATTAACTGACATCAGTCGAACTAAAAATTTAATAATCACATGTTGCGCTTAGTAATTAGAAATATACAAAAAGATCTGCTCTAAAATCTGAATGTTTCGTCGTATGAAGATATTAACACCTCTTCCAGACAGTATCCGATCAGAAGGGATGTGTATAAAAATTGCGTCTCTGAAAAATTCAAACTTTCAAAACAAAGTTTTTTGAATTTATTTAGAATACTTTTGCTAACAGTTCAATCGTACAGTGCAAACATTTCTGAACAACAAACAAAATGATACATCTCCATGACATTATTTCATTACACTTTATTCTAGACGGTAGAAATCAACAGAAAAATAACAAAAGTGCACCTTCAGGATCTTTTCTGAATTTGAATGAAGTGTAATGAAATAATGTCATGCAGATGTATCATGTTGTTCAGAAATGTTTGCACACTATACGACTGAACTATTAGCAAAAGCATTCTAAATAAATTTAAAAAACATTATTTTGAAGATTTGTGATTTTTAGAGATACATTTTCGAGAGAATTTCTGTATACATCAATTTTGATCAGATACTCTTTAAGTTATTCAAGTCTTTCTTCGACGTTATTCTCGTTGTTACACTTAATACCACTCAATGAAGAATTTATAACAATATTTTCAGAACAACGTTGACGCTTTTATATATGATCATTAAATTTATGTCATCTTCTCACACATTTATGCTATTCATCAATATTTGAACATATTGTACCTATATCACATTCAAAAGCAATCAATGGTTGTTGAAATTATTCAAATAGTAAAATATGGTCGTATTTGATTGAACAATCACAACATATTTCTTCAGCAATAAATAAAATATTCCCAATACTATTTACAACTAATTATGTAATTTCAGATTTACGTTATCTAATTAAATGTTTAATGTCTTGGTCATATTAGTGCTTTTCTGTTTAAAAGTTTAAAAAGAGCAATTTATTATCGATGTTATCAAAATTCTCTAACAATTTATTATTAAGCAATTTTTGAAACTTGCTATTATTCAAACAAAATATATTAATGAAAAATTAAATCAAGAAGTTCACAGTAGCCTTTCTTCATTCTGACTTGTTCGACATTCCTTCCACTAAAGGTCATTTAATAATAGTTAGAGTGAACGAAAATGAAAAAGAGAGTGCGTGTGTATAAAATAAAATATTCTTTACATTCTTCTACTTTCTACTGTTTTAGTTAACTTACACTTTTTAATTTGAAGAAAGAATTCATTTTTCCCACTATCATTTTATTTATAGAAAAGACGTTCTTTAGACTGAAATACAACTCATCTTTATATAACTTATTTTTATTGATGTTTTGCTTAAATGATACATAAAGCCTATTTTAATCAAATTATATATGCAAGTGAAAAATTGCGCTATATGATGACATAATATAACCATTATAAATAGAGATTCAAGGTGTTCTAAAAAATTCTTCATGTAAAAAATATTTTTGAACGTTTTTTCTTATTCCAGCTTCAATAACAAAAGACATAAACTTTTGTATATTCATAATGCAAATCATCACATTAACATATCTGTTTCATACTTTTTTTTTTTGTTCGATACGCTCTAGATATAGCGTAAATACATTAGCATACTGTAAAAAAAAAAAATTATTTAATTTTTTTCTTTGACAACTAATCCTATTCATTTCATATCATTACAGATTGTCTTTTTCAAATGTTATGCATCAATGAATAGATTAAATTACTACAGTAGATATACAACAAAGTAAATAAAAATGTGTATATTAGAAGAATGAGCAAAATGTTAACAGCTATTATTCATGAAAAGTTTGAACGTATATTCAATTAATGGTTGAAAACTTGTCTCACCCTTATAACTAGCCATAATTATTATATTTTCTTTTGGTACGATAATTTGACATTTGACAATATCATTTTCATAATCAACTTCTGGTTGATATTCTGAATCGAGACGAATTTGAACTTGATCAGCATCTGGTATACGATAATGAAGTGTCACAATAGAACCTTTTTTCAAATTATTTTCTAATGGTTCATAAATTTTACATTTTGTCTTTTGAAATTGATTATAAATTTTCGGAAATGTAATTGATCGTTTTAAATCAATAACATTCAAATCAAAATCAACAACTAAATTTAATGTACTAGATTCATCTTCAATTTTTTTTGCGTATAACATAATTTTGTGTAAACCTGTTTGTTGAGATGTAAATAAACATTGCCAAACATCTTTATCGGCATCATATTGCAATAGACTTCCATTTTTTATTTTCTCATCTTTGTATGTAATAGCACCAGATAATTCAATATTACAAGGAGCTCGAAGAAGTATTTCACAATAGGACGCATTTTTAGACCACATAGCGAATCGACTGTTATGCGGTGTAATTATTTCTAAATCATAAGCATAAAAGTATGATGAAATATTTGGATACGATATTGAACGAGATGGTAACTGTCTTACATCAAGATAAAATTTTAAGACTTGTGTGTATACATCATGAAATGATTTTTTCTTTGCAAGTATTATTATGTCATGTATTCCTGTTGCCTGTGGTGCAAAAAAACATCGCCATAACGAATTTGTTTTATCAAAGTAACTTTTATGACCACCAACAACATCTTCTCCATTCGAATTAATTAAATTGACTAATAGTTCAACATCTTCAGGTGTTTCAATGAGTATTTCAACATGTGTGGTATCACCTACCAATTGTATCGTATGTTGAAACTTTGGCTTAATTAATTTCAATCCTAAATCATAATAGGCTTTTGATGTTTCTGGAAAAGTTACTGGTCTGATTAGATCGAATACTTCTAAACTATATTTAATAGCGATTAAATAATCGTCTTCTATCATTTTCTGTTTTCCATATATAGATATTTCATGAAAACCATTTTGTTGTGGTGCAAAATAACAGCGCCATATTCGTTTTCGTGAATCATAATAAATTCGATCACCGCCTACGACTTTTTTCTTATCAAATTCTAGACTACCTATTAATTCTATATCTTCTGGTGTTCGTATATGAATTTCAGCATACGATTTATCACTTATAAGTTGAACAATATTTGATTTATGTGAAATAAGTTCAAATTTTAGTTTGAAAAATGATGGCCATACTAATGGCAATGTTGAATATAGTTTCAATGAAATTGGTGAAATTAACAATTGCCATTTTTCATATTCTGGTAAATGTTTATAGATAAATTCTTCGGGATATGATAAAAAATAATATGGATCAAATTTCTTTTTGAATTGTTTATCATCAGTTAGATCACCTGCTGCCCACATAGATTCAATTAGATACCAATGATTATCGATTCGAATTGAATTCCATGCATGATCAGTTTCTGTTAGAAGAGTGGCTTTCATATCAAATCCATATCCTTTTCCATAACCATTAATTTTAACACATTCTAAATCAACACTTTCACATAATCGCTTATAAATATTGGCATATCCTACACATACTCCTTTCTTCAATTTAAAAACTTCTTCAGCCGTTTGATTCGTATAATTTTTTGAAAAATATCCCACAACATCATATTCGATATTTTGTGAAACCCAATAGAATATAATCCATGCTTTATCAATAATAGTTTTATTTGATGAAAGATGTTGAATTTTATTAATTAATTCTTCGATAGAAGTTGATTGCCATGAATCAATAGCCTTACGATAGAAAATATTATCAATAGCAGCTTGACGTTGTTGAATTAATACATCGTTAAAAGCATATAAATCTAACGGTCGAATATCAATTTTTATTGTCTCACTTTCAAATATTGAACTACGATTAAGTGTATCAATTGACGTGTAACTATCTTTTCGACGTTCATTAAAACTTTTTACCGTAAGTCTATCACCTAAATAATCATCATTTGGCACTATTGGAATTACATAAACATTTGTGTCACTTTCATCGATTGTAATTGGTTGTGAATCTATAGCCGGTTTAACTTTGACCGATTGTTCGCAACCCATTATAAAGTTTTTCTCACAAAAAAGAAAATTTATTAAACTGGCATCCTCTTATATAATCTCTTTACAATAATAACATACTATTGCTGATATACAAAAAATTTGTTTAACGTAGCAACTAATTTTCATAAAAAATAATAATAAAAAGACCTAAAAACTTTAACTAAGTGGAAAATATTCTTCGAGGAACATGGTGTTTTCCTCAGTTACATGAATTTTTAAATTTCTGTTGTTGTTATTTTTTTAAGAAAGAAAACATCGCTCTAGGATACAATTTATGAAATAAAATGTAGAATCAAAACTAAACCTTTTTATTGCCGTCAGAATATCGTTAATAGTGTCTTTTTTCTTGACATATCACAATTTGAGCATTAATAAAGTTTGAAATATAGTTTGTCAAATAATTCTGATTGAAAGTGTATGGAGCACTTTTTTGCAGTATTTATGAATAAAGTCATGTTGGCCACCTCGTGGATTATGACCATTCATCTAAAAATTTTCTGTATTTTTTATTGACGAATTTTAAGATGTTCAGATAAAAAAATGTTTTCTGAATGTTCATAATGCATAAATTGCCATACGGTTCTTGTGTATAGATTAAATCTGGTAATAGAAGAGCGATGGCGTCAAACTCTAGTTTTGTAACTGTTCGCTCTATTGTCATCTACTAATGATTGATTCCTGATTTTGACTTTGTTTTTACGGTAGATCTCGTTCTATAGTTGAACCGTGGCACTCGAATCTAGTTGATATTCCAGGGTAATTTTATTAATAGTTTTCTACGATTTGTCTTATATTTGTTCAAGATCTCCGACTTATCTTACTGAGGTCGACAATTTGAAAATTTAAAAAGATTTTCCTAATGAGGAAACATGCTGAAGTGTTCGATCGGCTAAAGTATTTGATACGGATCACGAATCTGATATTCGTTTTTCCTATAGGACTATTAAGTACCGTCTTGTGGAAAGAAAGTCTCTGAAGACTCATCTCGAAACTTCTAGTGGAAAGATTTTGACACAATCACTTTGTAGTAAATCAATTTATGCATGTAGAATCATATTTAGACCTATTAATCAAATTCTCAACGAGAAATGAAAATTTTACACAAGTAGTTGATAAATATCAAAAACACGAAGGCTTCTTTTGAATTCATTGAGAATTTGTCCGATAGGTCTAAATGATTACGTCTTCGGGCGGTAGAGCGTAACGACAAAACCATACTCACACTCACTTTCTTACACAATATTATGAAAATAATTTTAAGGAAGATTTTTACTAGGAAAACATCGACAAAACAGCAATATCATTGTGAGAGTGCAGTTGAATAAAAAAATACGCATTAATTTCTCCTTCTGACATTCTTTTATTAACCAACAAAACATTTAACTGATTCACAAATTGTGATGTCCTTTTTGTTTATAAAAATTCAAAAACCCTGCAAACAGTATTGATTGATTATTACAACTATTTTTTATTTGTTGCTGCATACATGCTTATGATGTTAAAATGTGAAACTGTTCAATATCTTAATGTACATTAAAGGTCAGCTGATGTCAGCAAACATTTCAAGTGTAAAACTTGACAGTTGAAGCTCTATGGAAATCTCAGAAATACGAACGAAACATCGATCCATCAGTAGATCTACTGATGGATCGATGTTGGCACAACCATATCACAGATGTCTTCAAAATTTGCCTCAAGTTTGCCGAACAGTTTTTATCTTTGCTTCAAACATCAAAATTTACTAGACAATCACTGGTGGTGATTTAGAAATCAATGAGCCTTATGAATAATGTGGTGTATATAACGGTATCAAAAAGAAATAAATTAATCAAAATGTTCGTATATTCGAGTCCGCTTTCGTATAAAATTAATTTTGTGTTCATGATATAGTTTAAGTTTTAGAATATACCAATGGAATTGATTCCGCTTGCATTCTGAAAAATTAAATCTGTGCCAAAAGCACTATCGACATATATGTTGTAGGCAAACTTAAAATTCAGTCAAATTTAAAATCTGCCTAGGCAGAATTAAAATTTTAATTCGGCCTAGGCAAAACTAAAATTCTAATTTTGACTAGAGATTCGCTAGGCAAAATTAA